GGGTGGGTCGCATGGTCTTCAGGGCATTAGCCCACTGTGGCCCCCTTTGCCTGGCAAAGCACTTAAAGCTACTCTTTTCCACTTCGCCCCAAACTCTGTCTCCACGTTTCTGTTTGGCACCAGTGAACAGAGGCCGAGTTTCGGCAACAGCACGTCAAGAGGGATAAAGGCTATGCAATTGCATAAGAGCAAGGTCTGGCAGGGTGTTCAAAAAAGACACAAAGTGTGTGCAGGACAAGGGGGACGATGAAGCCGGGGGGCAGGGAGCTTACGGGGCCGAAAGACCCTCCTGGTCAGTGGCAGAGGGCAGAGGTGGACGGGGCTCCTCAGATACAGACACCCCGAGAGTAGGGGAATGTGTCCCCAGCGCAAGCTGGGAGAGGGGAATTCGGGCTATTAAAGTATTCACTAATAAGAGAGAGGTGNAGAGAGGTGATGAGAACGAGCCTGGGAGAGCGAGCCCGTCCACCGAAGCCCCGTGGTGGGGTTTCTCTGCTTGGGAGCGGGTGCTGGGAACAGTCCTGGGGGGGTGCTTAAATAAACACCCTCTGCCTCCCCTAGGTGCCAGGGCGGAGCTGTTCTAACCATCACTGGGTTTTGAGGATTTGAGTCTGATAGGCACTTGTGTTTAGGAGAGACTCGGCTTTTCTAAAATAACAGTTGAGTTCTGAAAGCTACATATTCAAAAACTTTGCCTAATCTTTCACATTCAACATACGCATCTCATTTTCCATTTGTAAGACCTGCAAATCTTAACAGTCACTTTTAAGGGTCTTTGAATGCTACAAATCTAGTTCATTAAAACTTCAAAACTCTGAATTGTGATAATAAGGGTAATATATTAAATTTCTTCTTAGGCATTTCAATTGCCTAGTGGACAAAGCCTTCTTAGTACTAATTAATTTTTAGAGATCTAATGATTTCACTTACAAATGCAATGAACCCAGAGTTTCTTACGTATTCTAGTCCTGTGAATAAACGTACTAAGATTTCTAGATAGCATTACAAGGCTAAGTCAACTGGATAATTACATATTTAACTCTGGATTTATGAGGCTTTCTTTACAATAGACCAGGTTCTTTAAAGCTTAAGGGACCATGAGATTTCAAAGCTACCCAGATATCTTAATATGAAAGTCCAAATTTTAGGGCTTTGGGTATATTAATCGCTTCTAGACTTACAAGTCTTCCTGGGTTTATAAGATGCTTACCTATTAAGGGAGAAAAGTGCGGTTTTAACTAGCAGGCTTTGCTTCTGATGAGAGGTGGTGGTCAGCGCCTCGTGGGGTCCGTTCAGCCCTGGGTGGGCTGCATCTCCTCAGTTACTGAGTCGGCGACCGTGGACATCAGGAAAAGACGCGCAGGTTGCCCGCCTCCCTAGATCTAGGGTGTGCACTTTCTTTACACATAGTTATAAAATTGTGAAGTGTGTACACGAAAGTCCCTAAGAGGAAAAGTGAGATCTGGCTGCTTTTGTTACCGTGTGGCCCACAGGCTTGTCATCACCGCTCAGAATCCCAAATGCCCGCGGGGTCCCTGTCACCACTGCATCCCACCCAAGTACAAACACCCTCTTGTCTTCCTGGTATATGTTTACCACCTAAGCTGTTGTTGTTCAGTAGCTAAGCCGTGTCTGACTCTTTACAGCCCCATGGACTGCAGCACACCAGGCTTCCCCGTCCATCACCAACTCCCGGAGCTTGCTCAGACTCACGTCCACCAAGTCAGTGATGCCGTCCAACCATCTCATCCTCTGTCATCCCCTTCTCCTCCCGCCTTCAATCTTTCCCAGATCAGGGTCTTTTCCAGTGAATCAGCTCTTCGCATCAGGTGGCCAAAGACTGGAGCTTCAGCATCAGTCCTTCCAATGAGTATTCAGGATTGATTTCCTTTAGGATGGAGAGGTTGGATCTCCTTGCAGTCCAACTGACTCTCCAGAGTCTTCTCCAGCACCACAGTTCAAAAGCATCCATTCTTCGGCACTCAGCCCTTTGTGGCCTAGCTCCCCATAAACTGCGGGTCTCTTTAACTTGGAAACCAGCCTTGTGCGGTGCGGAGCCGGCACCAGGCCCGCTCCTCAGCCCGGGGTCCCCCCGGCCCAGCCGCCGCGTCATGTCTCCACCCTGGGTGTGGTCACAGCTGTCCAGTTCTCACGGCCGAGTGGCATCTGCCACACAGCTGTGTTTAGATGACTATCTGCCCTCTTCCGGTGGCCTCAGGTGGTTGCCAGACTGGGGCTGTTGTGAAGAGTTTCGCCATAGACTGTCCTGCCTGTTATGCCCGATGTCCGAATCCCCGAGCGGGAAGAGAGAAGGCCTCCAAGACAATGCAACTCGCCAAAAGGGAAGTTTATTGCTGACTCGAGTCAGGGCTCCTGCCGCATCCAACACAGTGGTGCAGGTCAGAGAGCCCCGAGCCCAAGCTGTTACACATATTTATAGGGTGAGCACACGCCGTTGGTAGTTGGTTTAAGCGGAGTGGTTACAAGTTTGCAAAGCAATTTCATTGGTCAAACACACTCAAAACTTTCGCGCTCAAGGGACTTTCCCGGGGGTTTCCGCCCCGCTCCTAATTGGCAAACAGCGGTCAGTGTTAAGCTGATTGGTTGTATCCAGGTGGCCTGATAATCTTACCACCCAGAAGTAGGAAGGCCTACTCCTAATCTAAGCTGCCTGCCATGGCGTTACTTCTGCTCGCCTCACACTGCCCATGGTCCCTGAGGCACATGACGCTCATTTCCACGTCAGGCAGTGGAATTGCCAGTTATGGGCCTGTGTGTCTTCCGCTCTAATAATTAGTAGCACACTCTTTCCCAAGTTGGTGGCTTCAGTTCACGCTGCTGCCCACAGTATGTGTAATCCCCCCAACCCTGCTGCATCCCTGACACTTGGTGTGATCAGTTTTCCAAATTTTATCGGTCCTGACGAGTGTGGAATAGCATCTCACTTTGATTATAATTTGCAACAAAATCGAGAAGCTTTTACAAGTATATTGGTCCTGTGGGTATCAGTTTTTGTGAAGTGTCTGCTCAAATCTCTTAACCCTTCTTACTGAGCAATTAAAATTCTGTTGATTGGTAGTTCTTTGGGCTTCCCTGGTGATTCAGCAGTGAAGAATCTGCCTGCAATGCAGGAGGCGTGGGATGGAGAAGATGCCCTGAGGAAGAGAATGGTTACCCACTCCGGTATTCCTGCCTGGAGAATTCCATGGATAGAGGAGCCTAGCAGTCTGCAGTCCATGAGCTCACAAAGAATTGGACATGACTTAGCGACTAGGCAACAAGAAGGAGTTCTTTAAATACTCTGGGTGTGAGATCATGCTGTTCTTTTTAATGGGTCATGGCAGACAGAATATGCTCCCCCTGCTAAAGAGCCCCTGATCCCCAGGTGGACGTGCGTCACCTTACACAGTGACGGTGACTTGGCAGAGGTGCCTAAATGGAGGATCTGGAGACAAGAGAGGGCCTGTGATACCGGGTGGGCCGGTCGGATGCCAGAGACTTCCAGAGCAGAGGGGCTTTCCCTGCCACATGCAGAGGGGCGGCGACCCGGAAGCAGGGCCGGAGGGCGGTGCTCCTGCCCTCTGAAGACGGGGAGGGCCCTGAGCCAAGGAGGGCCAGGAGCCTGCGGCAGCTGGCACCAGCGAGAGAACAGACCCTCCCCGGAGCCTAGAGAAGGAACCGGCGCCCGAGCCGACTTGCTTCCAGTCCCGTCACACCCACACCTGACGTCCAGCCTGCACGGCCCGTGGCGACACGTTTCCCTCGTGCTTTAGGCCACTGAGCTGCAGGTAAGGAGTTGGGGCAGCAGTGGGAAAATAGCAACCTGCGTGTCACAAAGGGCGTCCCTGGGAGCCCGGTGGTAAAGGGCCTGCCTGCCAAGGCCGGATGCAGGAGGCCCGGGTTCGATCCCTGGGTCAGGAAGAGCCCCTGGAGGAGGCCATGGCAACCCACTCCAGTATCCTTGCCTGGGAATCCCGTGGGCAGAGGACCCCGGCGGGCTACAGTCCACGGGGTCGCAAAGAGCTGGACACAGCAGCGCGTGCGCACACACACACACACCCAGAGAGACACACACACACAGACACAGACACACACACACACACACACACACTCACACAAGTTGCAAGGGATTTCTGTCCCTGGGTGAGTTTCCTTCTGTTTCCTACGTGGTCCTTTGATAAACAGAGGCTCCCATTAACCTTGCCCTTTCCACCCCGCCCCTCTGGAGTCTCGGGTAAGAGACGTCTCCCTGCCTGAGAGACAGAGAGCCCTCCTCCGTCTCCCATCAGGCTGTGGAGCTTCGCACACGGGGGTCTGTGATCGTCCAGGGCCCGAGGCTTCTGCCCTGGGGTTTGCGCATGGGGCCTGCCGCGCTCCCCCTGCCGGGCGGACGCGGCCCCCGCCCTGTGTGGGCCCGAGTCTGGTGTTTCAGCGGCTCTTGGGGGAAGCTGGTCCAGAGCAACCACCACACTGACTGGAAGCAGAAAGTCCCTGTTTATAGCAGACTCCCCTCTTTTCAACCAGAGTGTTCTAGTCTCAGGGTGACCTGTTTAGAAGCGTGTGATGCTAGGAGTGAGGCGGGAGAAGGCAAGAGCCTTTGGGGGAGGGAGGGGACCCCCAGGTCTATTGATGGCGGGAGCTTAAGGCTGCGGCTGATGCTTGGGGGACATTGGCGACCACATGTGCTAAGGGGGGCTTGAACTGCCCCTGGCTTGGCTGGGTCAGAAGGCCCTGCTGCAGATTGGCTGTGGGAGAAATGCTCAGAAAAGCTCAAGTGCAAAGATGCAAATGAAAACCGGCAGGAAAAAGTATGTCAGAAAACAAACTTTAAAACCGTGGTGCTTCTGGCTAGGCTGTGTGTCTTGGAGTTCAGATGCGGACAGGAGGGGCTGGACCCTGCGGGCCTTACGAGCGGAGGCAGGGGAGCAGCGGGGGCCTAACCTTCGCCTGGGACAGAGCAAAGCTCGTGGAGGCTGCGGGCGGCCGGGTGAGCCACAGCTTCATCTCCGAACCTTGCAGCTGTAGTTGTACCCTCCCCGCGACTTCCAGTTGATGCCGTTGGCATGGCCTGTGTGCTGCCCCTCGAGGCAGCGGCCGTTCAGGCTGGCCGAGTGACAGGCGTGGTGCCATCAGGCCCCCTGGAACTGCACGGCACAGCTAGAGGCGCCGTTATCACTGTCGCGGTCTTTGATGGAGAAGAAGTGACTTCTGTGGTCCGTCAGGAAATCACCTGCTCGGGGAGGGGGGCGGGCGGAGTAGGGTGTTGCTGGTCCTAGAGGGACCCACCGTTGGGGGGCCCTGCCGCCTGCCCAGCGCACCCCCCCTCTAGAGACCCCCAGGGGGCTGAGAGCCCCCCTCATGCTCGGGGAGGGGGGCGGGCAGAGTAGGGTGTTGCTGGTCCTAGAGGGAGCCACCATTGGGGGGCCCTGCTGCCCGCCCAGCGCACCCCCCCCTCTAGAGACCCCCAGGGGGCTGAGAGCCCCCCTTGGCCATGGGGCAGAGGGCGCCTCCTGGTCCCGGAGCTGTGCACCAGGGCGCGAGCCTCCCTCCAGCCTCACCTGTTTCCTCCTGGCTCCCCAGAGACCCCCAGGCCCTCGGGGCCCTCTCTTCTGCCAGCTTGCACCTCTCTCCTGGGCACCGCCCCCTCCCACTGTCTCGCCCTGGTCATCCCGGGGGCCCAGCACCACCTCACCAGGGGCCCTGGCTCCAGCTCCAGCCCCGGGCGTGCAGCTTCCCTCTGGCCCCTGCAGTATCCACGCCGCCCCACGCCGGCCTGGCCCTCACCTACACCACGAGGTCAAGGGTCCCCGCCCTGCTCCTTCCTTGGAGGATCAGAGGAGGCCCTGTGTGTCAAACAGGCGCTTAAAGGCCCCCATTAGCCATCCCCTCCGGCATCCCGGGGGGCCTTGCTCTCTGGAGCTCTGCTTCAGCGCAATCCAACAGGCACCTGGCTTCTTTCCTGGACACAAGTGCACCTGGCGTTTCCAGGATGGGCCACAGGAAATGCCTTCCCACTGTCTGTGACCAGGGGTCTTTCTGGAGAGAACACCCCACAGGGTTGGTGTTCCGTGGAGCCACTTGAGAACAGGACCCTAAGGTCTCCTATGAGGTGACCGTCCTCTTCCAGGTGTTAGCAGAGACAGGGTCACTGACCTCAGTGAATTGCAGGCCCCACGTTGCACAGAAACTCAGGCACCATCTTGTCCGCCTCTACAGATGGAGAAGCCAGGCCCCGAGACAGGAGCCCCCAGCCCAGGGTCTCTCGGGGAGACAGAGCCAGGACCCCCAGCAGCTGCTCTGCTTCCCCAGCCCTGACCTGAAGCGCCAGCCCCTGCAGTGCCCCGTGCGGACTCTGACCTGCACCGCCCTCCACAAAGACCCCCAGGACCAGCTTGTGCCTCTCAGCTTCACCCGCCATCCTGAATGACCGGTGCTTGGCAAATCGGTGGTTGCCCTCAAAGTCCACGAGGTCTACCCAGAGCTCACTGGTTCCTGCTGGAGGAAGGTGTTCGGGTCTCAGCAGACGGGGCCCTGTGCCTCCAGGCAGAGGAGGTGGGAATTTGGGTAAATTCTGGAGGGATGTCTGAACTTGGCATCCGGGGAAAATTCAGCGGGGAAGGTGTGAGAGGCTGGTGGATACGAGGATCCGGGGAGGGCTCCCTGACTTCCGACAGCTCCCCTTCTGTTCCATCAGCCTCGCCCAAAATCCCACTGTTGGTGTTCCTTAAAAGGAGTGAAGCCTCACTCTGCTGGAAACCCTAAATTCTCCTGCAAACCGCTGTGAATGCCAGGGCAGGAAAGTATATTTGTATTGGTTTCTTTTGCAAGAATTTCAGGCACATGAGTAGATACCTTCAAGGTTGCCCTGAGGTAGTGGGAGAATTTAAAATAGGATTCACAGGTCTACAGTTGAACTCAGGACCACCCATGAAGCTGAGTCTATGGAACAGAGCAGTGAGCTGAGGGGGACTGTGTCAGGACCCCCACGTGCAGTGACCAGGAGAAGGGAGGAGGGGGCTTCGGGGTCTCAGAGCCCAGGTTCAAGGCAGGACCGACGGCCGGGAGAGAGAGGAGGGCCAGTACAGACGGCCTGCTGCCCACTTCCTCCTCTCGGGATCTAAAGTCTGATTGGTCCTGAGACCAGAAGACATCTTCCCTCCAATAACCCGCCTTCTCCCGATTCTGACAGTCAGAGAGTCTAGGAGAAGCGCACCCCAGGCTGGCTCAGGCATAACCTTCCTGCTGTCAGAGGGGAGCACGCGGGGGGCGAGGTCTTCTGCTCCACACGGCCCAGGGCTAAGGTCAGGAGCTGTGGGCTGCAGCCCCCCAACCACAGAGCCCCCGCTGTGGCCCTGCCCCGGGCGGTCAGGGTGTGGATGTTGTCACTCCCCGGCCAGAACTTGCCCGGCTGACTGCCGAAGCCCTGCGTGTACGTGGTCCGGGTCCGGAAGAAGCCCCCAGGGCCGCCCCTCCTTCGCTGGAAAACCTGTGCAAGGGTTGGGGGGGCTGGGGGACAGGCCCCTGCTGCCGTCCCCCTGCGGGGTACCCCGCCACCCGTGAGCACAGCGCCGGTAGCTCCTAGCGCTTCAGTCTGAGGCCCAGGATGTGGGTCTCATCAGAGACCCCGGGGACCATCAGGGGAGCACCTACACGTGGCCAAGGAGAACATGGAGACTCAGAGAGGGCAGGCGACAAGTCCAAAGTCACGCGGCTGGAGAGAAGTGGGCACTTCTGGGCCTCCGCCCACGGCCCGGGGTGACGGGCCTTCTTGCTCCTGCCCCGACGTTCCTGCTTCTCCCGACCTCAGTGACAGGACGGGGCCAGCCTGAGCCTGGGGTTAGACAGTCTCACAAAGGCCTCTAAAGACTGATCTCCCACCAGAGGGGCCTCCCAAGTGGGCCCACCCCCGCCCACGGGCCAACGGGGCCGTCTCTGGGACCCCCGGCAGCTCACGGCACCCCTGCCGTCCGTATCCGTGTCACACAGCACTGTCAGGGCCGGCAGTCGGGCAGGTAGATGGTGTTCCAGCCGCTCGGGAAGTGCCCCCTGGTGAGCAGCTCCTTGCAGGTCCGAGGTCCAGGGTGGGGAACCAGGGGGTGGACGCCAGGTTGGGAGCCTGGGCAGGGCAGGGGCCGCGCAGGGGGCGGAGGAGGGAACGACTGCCCGGGGGAGAGTGGTACGGAGGCCCTGGACGGACGGAGGGCACCCCCACCTCCCACTGTCCCCACCTCAGCCCGGGCACCCCACCTTCCAAGGAAAGCTACAAGCTCCCCCAGGAAGACTGCTGTGGAAGGCACATGTCATTCAGGCAATAGCTGCCTGTAACTGGGGAGTGAAAGATATGCAGAGAGTGTTTCATCTCTGGATGCTGGGAGAGGAGTCTGTGCAGCTGGCCTTCTGGTCAACCGCCCCCACGGGAGCAGGTCCTGGCTGAGGTCCGGGGGTCGGGGGTCAGCGTGTGGGCAGTCACCTGTGGCACACGAATGGAGCTGCCCCAGCTCTCCTGTTGTGGAAGAGAGGACACGCACGTCACATGTCTGGAAACAGCCCTGTGCCCTCCCCCGCTCTGCTCCGTGAACACGGCACCGAGAGTGGAAACCATTACCCAGCTCTTCCAGGACGGACAGCTCCCAGCCCTGGGCAGTGGTTCCTAGGCTCAGCCACACGGGCTCGCTGGGTGCAGGCGGCCAGCGCTGTCGCTTGGGGAACTGGCTGGACCATCGTCCTGGCCACCTCTCCTGGGCTTCAAGGCTCCCGGCAGTGAGGGTCAGCTCCTCCGGGCCCATCACTTTCCACCACCAGTGTCTCCATCAGAGCCTCTGGGCGTGGAAAGTCCTGGGGCTGTTTGGGGTATGCTGGGGCCCCGACCAGTGCACTTTCTGTTTGTCGTCAAAGCTTGTGACTGTGTCTTGTGAGCGCTCAGCCGTGTCCGACTCTGCGACCCCATGGACTATAGCCTGCCAGGCTCCTCTGTCCACAGGGATTCTCCAGACAAGAACACTGGAGTGGGTGGCCATGCCCTCCTCCGGGAAAATCTTCCCAACCCAGGGATGGAGCCCATGTCTCCTCCATCTCCTGACCGGCAGGCAGGTTCTGTACTGCTAGCACCACCTGGGAAGACTGACTGTGTCTTGGTATTTTACCTTTTCTCACTTTTAGAAATTTTTAAATAAATGGGCATAAACCAGAAAAAAACAAAAAGCGAAGCGTCCACAGTCATGCAATAAATCAATGTCGCCAGTCTCCTGGGGGCAAGACTGGCAGCCGCTGACTCCTCCAGCCTTGAACCGCCAGGACTGCCCCTCTGCCCCCACCCGTGGGCTGGACGGGCAGGGCCAGGAGCATGGTCTGAGCTCCTCCCCCAGACGGTCTCCTGGGCCCCGGGGCACCTCCTGTGATCCAGGCCTCTGGGACCACCCCCCCCAAGCCCCCTGCAAAGCCTGGGGGTGCCCCTGGGGAGGGGAGGGGCTCACCTTTCTCTCCATGTGCACCCCTCTCCCCTCGGGCTCCTGGGGAGAGACAGGGGATGCAGAGGACACCTGTCAGTGGACAGCGACCCTCTGCTCTGGAAGCCACCCCAGGCTCAGCTCTTCGGGGGGTGGGGGTGGGCGTGAGGCTGAGCCACACACATGCTCCGCGGCTCACACGGCTCTCTCTTGGCGGAACGGGTAGGCGGCTGGGGACTTGAGGCCTGGGATTCTTCCCTGGGTCACAGCAGGCTGCTGAGGACCCAGGACCCTGGACCGGTTCAGACGCCTCGAGGCTCTCGGGACGCGGGCAGTAACAGGTGCGTCACTGTCTCCCGCCGCCCTCCCACCCTGTCTCTCTCCCATCTCTCTCTCCGCCTCCCAGCGCCCTCTCAGTCTGTCTCTCCGTCTCTGCAGACAGGCCCCAGGGTCCTGCTGGGGGTCACAGCTCTTCATCACCTGTGCTTCCTTTGGGTCCGGCCGGCCCTGCCTTCCCAGGGACTCCGGGCGAACCTCGTTCTCCTGTAAATCCCAAAGACACACCACTGAGGGAAAGGCCATCTGAGGCATCCTACTTGGGTGCTCTCTGCCCTGAGGAATGAAGTCCTGACCCTCCCGCCCCGGCTCCAGTATCCTCAGGGTCGCTGCCCCCGGCGAGGGGGACAGCAGAGACAATGGGGGCAGAGCCCCCATGGCCCCTGGGGCAGACGGCCAGCACCCCAGGGGCCACCGGCTTCCGGCTCCCGTAGACCTCGGTGTAGCAGGCCCGGTCCACACCGCAGCACAGAGCTCTACCGCTGAGCCAGGGGCTGGGAGCAGGAGCACGTCCTCACCAGGGGCAGCTGGAGAGGCCAGCCATGGGCCCAGCTCTCTGTGTTCCCCCCAGATGCAGGGGAGAGCGTTAGCTGCTCAGTCGTGTCCAACTCTTTGGAACCCCATGGACTGTAGCCCACCAGGCTCCTTGTCCATGGAATTCTCCAAGCAAGAATACTGGAGTGGGCTGCCATTCCAGGGGTCAAACCGAGGGATCTCATTCTCCCTGCCGGTGCTTGGCTGCTCGGAACTCCAGGTGTCTCCTCTGAGGCACGGGGATGGAAACCTGGGGCCCCGGTTTCCGGTGAGCACGCCAGGCACGTGAGGCGCAGAGCTCCTGCCAACGGTCACGGCAAAGCCAGTCCCGATCACACGCCCAGAAGCGCATGCTCCATGAAGACACTCCCAAACATGAGCTGACAATAGCTGGGACCAGCGCCCTCCTCCGGGGACGGCGGTGCCGGTGGGTTCTGGGCAGAACCCGTGACCCAAACTCCCAAGCTGAGACCCCCCGGGGGTACTGCCCTGCTCGGGCTCCAGTTTGAGAAGAGTCGGTGCTCATGACCCCCGTTGCCGACCCCGAGCACATACCCTTCAGTCCACTGGCGCCTGCCTCTCCCTTGGGCCCTGGGGCTCCGGGCAGCCCTGGGCAGCCTTGGAGGACGGACAGCTTGTCGGAGCCCTCCAGACCCACCAGCTTCACCTCTGCAGAGAAATGCGGAGTTGGGGTCAGGGCGCTCGTCGCAGGGCCGATGACAGGCCGCTCGAACCAAGAGTGTCTGCCACAAGGTGACCTGGTCCCTCGGCTCCGGCACGTGTCACTGGTCTCAGATGAAAGGTCAGCCTGGCAGTGAGCTTCCTGCCTCTGGCGGGCACTGCTCAGGTGGGGAGGCCACGCCGGGCAGAGCCGTGGCCTTGGACTCCATGCTGCCAATTCCCAGCCCCCCACCCCCATGCCGTGTGTCTTTGGGCAAGTCACTCAACCCCTCTGAGCTCTGGGAATCCAAATGGGGACAGAAATAAGGCTGTGGGGAGGATTAGATCAGATAATGCAGATTTTTAGATTCTTGGTATACTTCACGGCATTTTAAAAGAGCCTCATAAACAGTGGATACTTCCACTACTTGACAACAATAAGTATTTATAAGACTTGGGAATTTGGGGACAGCATAACATTTTCAACCCCAGACCACGGATTTGTGACCACAGAGCTCCCGAATTGGAAGGGGTCACTGTAGGTCCCCCTGCAGAGAAGATAGATTTGATCTAAGAACACAGAGCAAATTCCAGGAGAACAGGGACCAGGGGGTCATTTCCTTCTCGGGGAAAAAAAAAATTAAGTTTTGTTGATTTCAAAACTAAAACATCCTCACAAGAGACAACTTAGAGCATGTGGGAGTCAGCCAGGCTCCCACGGCAGACGCAGGAGCTTCTGCTTTGGAGTCGTCTCCACCAGAGATGCTCTCAGGGGAACAAGTTTATGCTTCCCCGGCAGGTACCTCCTCAGCTCACGGTGAGGCTGGTCTGTCCTCAGGCAACGTCTTTCCACGCGTGGGCCCAGCCCCCTGCACGGGATCAAAAGGGAGGCCACCCACCCTTACGCCTCTGACCTGCCGATTCACACTCTGGCGTGAAAGCCGAAAATCTGCAGTAACAGACCCCAAGCGAGCGTGGGAGCCCTGGATGAGAGAACCTTTCTGAAAAGCCCAGGAGAAGACAGGAAGCAGGGGGCATTGTCCTTCTTGGGTGCAGAGCCGAGACCTGACTGGACGCTCCGTGGAGCAAATCCGAGGCTTGAGAGGGAGACAGACCCGGATTAAATTTCCGCTCCTCGCGCGCGGCCGTGGGCTGTTCGTCAACTCCTAGTCTGAGGACAAGGCCGAGCCGCTGTCTTCGGAAGGTGCAGCTGGAGGGTTTCACCCTGGATGCTCCCTGTGGTCAGTGAGTGGGGAGCTCCAGGGTTCGGGGCCGGAAACAGGTCCATCTCGCCTGGACAGGTGTCAGCAGCCCGGGNTCTGAGGACAAGGCCGAGCCGCTGTCTTCGGAAGGTGCAGCTGGAGGGTTTCACCCTGGATGCTCCCTGTGGTCAGTGAGTGGGGAGCTCCAGGGTTCGGGGCCGGAAACAGGTCCATCTCGCCTGGACAGGTGTCAGCAGCCCGGGCAGCGAGGGTCCTGAAGCGCAGGCACGCGCGGAGCGGGCCAGCGGGCCCAGGGCCCGGGCCGTGCCTCCCAGCTCCACGGCCTCCGGTCCGTGACCGCGCTCTTGCGGGCAGTAGAAGCCAGCCCTTGCCTGGGCCTGCGGTTTCTCCACTCCAGGCGAACGCCCACTTCCTCCTGCCTCTTTGCTTACACCCACAGGAGGTACCATCCCCCCCCAGATCCCAGAGGCTGTCCTGAACCAGCACAGGTGGTGGGCCTTCCAGGAAGGGCTTCTGCAGACGTGCGGAGGGTCACCAGGGCGAGCAGGACGGTGCCGGAGGGGAGGAGCTGGGGATGAGACTCCTTCGTGGAGTGATGTTTCTCCAGTCAGCATGCGTGAGCTGGCGTCCTAACCGCACTTACTGTCTAGCTAGGAAAGAAGCGCGGGATGGCTGAACCTGAGGTTTGCGAAAGGGCACACAGGACCTAGAGCCCATCTCGTGGGCTCTGGGGTGACACCAGACCTGGCACAGTGTTGAGCAGTGGCTCCAGCCCACTGAGACAGAGGGAGAGAGAGATCGCCTTGCCTCAGCCACCACTCAGCCCGCAGCCAGCTGCGGATCTGAGCTCCGTCTGTTGGAGAGGAGCTAGTTCAGGGTTGTTCATCCTGTCTTAGGCAGCCAATGTTAGTCCCGCCGCCCCATCTGCAAGCAAACCCCTCCCTGCATCAGGGTGCTTCCTCTTCTTCTCACTGTTGATAGGATGACTATAGGTGGGACGCTGACCACACTATCACGTATCACTTTAATGTCCCTAAGAGTATGTGGGCCTGAAAAGATGACAGAACGCAAGACTCTGTCAAGTTCAGATATCTTGAAGTGGGGTCAACCAAGGTCATCTGATTTCTGGCAATGACAGGTTAGGTATTTGGGGCCATCTGTCCTCAGAAAGACAAATAGAAGTGAAAGTGTTAGTCCCCCAGTCATGTCCGATGCGTTGTGACCCCGTGGACTGTAGCCTGCCAGGCTCCTTTGTCCATGGAATTCTCCAGGCAGGAATGGGTAGCCTGGAGTGGAGTGGAGTTGGTAGCCATTCCCTTCTCCAGGGGATCTTCCCAACCCATGGATCGGACCCTTGCCTCCTGTGGCTCCTGCATTGGCGAGCAGATTCTTTACAACTGAGCCGCCTGGGACTTGAAACTCTAGTGGGGTCTTCCTATATCACTGTTGCCTGCTTGCTCCAAGCTGAAACCAACACAGATCTTATCAGAAGAATAGTATCACCCCAAGACTTAAATGATTTCTGCAAATATACATACCTTTCAAATTAAATCTTAGAATGCAATAAAAGATAACCAGGCTCATGGGGACAAAAGACAACATGTACAAGAACAAACAGAAGCAACACAGTGTAGAAACAGATCTGCAGAAGCCACAGTTACTGAAACGACATGACAGTGAACGGTGAAAACGGAAAGGCGTCCCCGGAGATTGAGAACAAACAAGGTTGCTCATACATCGCCACTTCTGGTCAGCGTAGTGTCACTGTCAGAGTAGTAAGGCAGAAAAAATAAATCAGATGTATACGAGTTGGAACGGCAAGTACAAGGCTGCTATTACTTTTGCAGAAAACTCAGGGGGATCTAAAATTTTTAGAATGAATGAGCTTAGCAAAAATCAATTATGTTCCTAAAAGTTAAACAGTGAATTACAAAAAGAAAATTTAAACATATGCAATAGCGACACCAAACTCAAATAACTGAATAATTCCGGCAAAATATACACTAGTCCTCCATGTAGAAACATCAGATGGGAATGAGAGATGTTTAGAGAACAACTGGAAGAATATTCTCTGCTCATGGATTCAAATGCTCAACATTATAAAAATATGTTTCTCTCTAGTTGATCCATAGATTCACTGCATTATCAGTTAAATGCCCCTCTTATTGGGAAACTTGACAAGATGAATTTGAAATTTGTCTAAAAGGTTAAAGGCCAATAATTAGGATATCTTGAACTGGAGCAAAGAAGGATGACTTGCTCTAGTTGATGCCAGTATTTGTCGTGAAGGTAAAATCACTGAGGTGGTGTGGCACCAGCTCGGATGCAGACCGAACCATCAGAACCAAATAAAGGATCTAAAAACAGATTCAGGCCCGTGAGAGCGGCGGCTCCACGGAGCCGGCGGGGAAGGGCGAGCTGCAAAACTGAAGAACAGCTGATTTACAATGCTGCGTTAATTTGTGCCATGCTGCAGAGTGATTTGGTTTTATACACACACACATATTCTTTTTAATATTCTTTCCATTATGGCTTATCACAGGGTATTGGATATAGTTCTCTGCACAATACAGTGGGGACTTGCTGTTTATCCATCCTACATTTAATCGCTTGGGCTTCCCAGGTGGTAAAGAACCCACCTGCCAATGCAGGAAATGTAAGAGACGCAGGTTTGCTCCATGGATGGGGAAGATCCCCTGCAGGAGGGCAGAGCAACCCACTCCAGTGTTCTTACCTGGAGAAGCTCATAGACAGAGGAGCCTGTTGGGGTACAGTCCATAGGGTCACAAAGGGTCAGACACGACTGGAGTGACTTAGCACACACACATGCATCTACTAGCTTACATCTGCTAACCCAGCCTCCCACTCCGTCCCTCTCCCAGCCCTCTTCTCCTTGAATAAACTTCCAATAAGCACTGTGAGCTACTGGGTATTCACATGGGAAAACCAGAAATGAAACTTGACCCTTTCCATATAGCAGAAAAAGAGCCATGTTGGCAGAATCATAGACCCAAATGTGAAAGATGAAACAGTAGTCTTGGGCCACATCTTAAGACGTCAGATACCTTTGTTGATTTCTCTCGCAGGAATGAAAAGAACTAAGTACTGGACAAGTCTGAAAACTGACATCGAAATTAAGAATACTGGGTTTTCAAACGACATCCCTGAGAGAGACAAAAGCTGCCAGGGGGTGGAGAGCAGGCCGCACGCAGGAGTGACAAACCGCTGTGTCCAGAATAAATAAGGAATTGCTGTAAATCGATGCTCCTGTGCAAAATGGGAAGGTGACTTACACAGATACTCCTCAAAAGAAACATTTCAATGGTCGATAGAAACAAGATGAGACTCTCAACTTGATTAGTGATCAGAGACATGCACGCCTGCACCTGCTCGATGACCCACAAGCTGGAGCCCAGCCCTGCCCCCCGCAGGCAGAGGACACGGGCAGAACAACGTCCCGTCCCAAACCACAGCAACCAAGTGTCCATCCAGAGCAGGACAGATCCCTGGCCCAACGCGTGTTCAAATCGGAGAGACCTGCAGAGCGTCACACAGACGATTCCTGCTCCCTACAAACCATCGTGGAAATTCACAAACACAGCATCGCAGGGAAAGCGGCATCAGGAAGGAGACTTTGTTTGGTTGCATTTGTACGTAAAATTCAAAAGTGGGCCACTCCACAGAGCCGTGTTAGGATGAGGTGCATGAGTGGACTGTGGAGAGGAGGGCCAGGTGCCCCCAGCCAGGAGGGCAGCCCCCTCAGGAGGGGTCCTCGAAGCTGGAAAGGGACTCGAGGGCTGGCCCTGTTCTTCGGCTTCTTCTGACGCACTTTGCTTCACACACTCTGGTGAGGAAGTGTTATTTTCCACTTCAGAAAGGAAGTTTAAATACAATGAAATGGAGCATGCAGTGGCCACAGGCAATCTGTATCACTTCCTACCGCAGTGCGCAGTGCGGCGGTCCCCAGCAAGCACCGAGATTCACAAGGGCCCCATGTCCTGCCCGGCTCCTGGGAGGCTGGCTGTCAGCACACAGGTACTGTTCCACTGCCTCTGAGGGGAGCTGGTCCCGGGCCGGGGCTCCCGCACATCTCCCTCCACCCCAGTACCAGGGCCTTTGCACGTGACTCTGTGGATTCAGGAGAGATGTGATCCCACCCAGTGATGCTCGAACTCCAAATCGCCTCATCCAGGTCCTGGCTCAGGGTGAGGACCACAGCGTCTGCCAGAGCTTCAGCCTCCAGAGCAGGAAGGGCGGTCCGATTGACTGAGGTTTTGAAGTCTGGATTAGGGTGGGTCTTCCAATGGGGCCTAGGGTGGGAGCACCATGTCATTGTTTAAGACTGGTAGACACAGCAAAGTGAGGTTTTTTAATCCACACAGTTCCACTCAAACTATTGATTTCTTTTGATGAGTTGATGGGTCTTTGGAGAAAATGCTTCAGTAACATGGCATTTGCAGCCTTCAACTTTCTTAGGGGAGTCTGTAGACAGCATATTAAAAAGCAGAGACATTACTTTGCCAACAAAGGCCTGTATAGTCAAAGCTATGGTTTTTCCAGTAGTCATGTACGGATGTGAGAGTTGAACCATAAAGAAAGCTGAGCACCGAAGAATTGGTGCTTTTGAATTGTGGTCCTGGAGAAGACTCTTGAGAGTCCTTTGGACTGCAAGGAGATCAAACCAGTCCATCCTAAAGGAAATCAACCCAGAATATTCATTGGAAGGACTGATGCTGAAGCTGAAACTCAAACACTTTGGCCACCTGATGCAAAGAACTGACTCGTTAGAAAACACCCTGATCCTGAAAAGACTGAGGGCAGGAGGAGAAGGGACAACAGAGGATGAGATGGTTGGATGGCATCCTCGACTCAGTAGATGAGCAAACTCCAGGAGATGGTGGAGGCCAGGGAGCAGATAGTATAGTCCATGGGGTTGCAAAGAATCAGACATGACTGAGCGTCGGAACAGCAACCCCAGGAACATCAGGGTCCCCGGGAGCACAGGTGTAAACCCTGCCCCACCCACAGAGGCCCCCAGTCCCGGCCTCCTCTCTCCCAGGAGTAGGGAGTGTCCCCCAGGGTAGGGCTTGCCCTGTCCCTCTGCTGGTTCCCTTCCTTCCTGCTCCTGCAAGACTTGTGTTTGGAGGGCCTCAGGAAAGGGGCTGCATGCCGGCTGGACCTGGCGGGGTCCCCTGATATCCCCCGGAGGCACCTTCGTTTGGCCGTGAAGACCGTCGACATCTGCAGCCCCTCAGTGGGGGAGAGGCTGCCTGCCGAGTCCAGTCCAGCCTGGAGCCCGGGGAAGGGACCCTCGCCAGCTGTCTGTGACTTTCTATCTGGGAAGAAGGAGCACACGGGGCTTGCCTTGAAGGATGCCCCAGGCCACACCCACAGGCCGGGGTTCTGACCCAGGCAGTGTGACCTCGAGCCCATCGCTCAACCTCTCTGA